CGGCTTCGCAGTAGAGGATGCCAGTTCGAGGTCAGCAATACACCAATCGAGTCGAGCAAGCGCAAGAAGCATACTCAATAAGAGTATTACTTTTTACATATTAATGTCGTGTGCTAACATTTCAGGATTGCAGTGTTTGGCGAATGTGCCACATGGAATACATATGTTACATGAACTTTTGAAGGATACATGTGCAATCGGTGCTACCTCTCACAATTGTAAATGCCTCAGTTCTTATTCCAAAGTTAGTCTGAATCAAGCTGAGAAGGTGCTGTCGTTTGTAATTGGGATATTGCAGGAGGTGGTCTCATGAACCACCTATTTATTCACCCGTCCTGTAGCCCAGCAGTCATGCGGAAAGTATACATGGCTCTCAATTAGAAAAAAAATCACCCTTCCAAACCCCCCCCACATTTCGGACCAATGAGTTCAAACGATTAAGAAATTCCAGAGTCAAGAAACCGTTTACAGTAATAGTTCCATGATATTACCTGGGGTCAAGGTGCGATTTTAACACTTTTTGCCAATGACAAAATGACAACATTGCGTGTTTATTTGTTAACCTTGGGATGGGACGAGTGTTTACGAGCATGTATGTGAGCAAAATAAAAGGTGAAACAAGATTGGCTGAAGGAAAAAGGGGAGGGTCCAATCGGCCTTAGGTCTGATTTTATGTGGTTTGGTTGTTGGCATGGTGACGTGGGAGTGGATCAGCATTCCAATGTCAACACATTGGCCAGTCTAGTTCATAAAGTATATACAGGGAGGTGGTATGCTCGCGATTGTGTTCAATATATGATGATATATTTAGCTATACTAGTCATGTGATACTTCACGATCGCTAATAGCTGGCGAGTGTAAGAAAGAAGTACAAACTATGCAACCAAGAAATAGTACTATACCAATGTTGAGGAGCATTGAGTTGAACCTAAAACTATGTTTGCTACTCGGGTACTTTTAAGCTTCATGTGGAAAGCATATTTGCTGGTTGGTTACATACGAGATGGCATTAGTGCAATATAAAATATAAGGTTGATTGTGATTTTTCTAATCCCCCTTGGTGGATTATTTTATGTAACTGGGCTTAAAACTTGAGGCAGCCACTGCAATTCATAAATAATTTTTGATTCAATGCATGTATGCGGTAGTGTTAGGACCGATGATTTTTGTAAATTATGAAACAAGGAGTGCCTGTAGTGATATCAGACTGACCTATCATACAGCTGGTTGATCAAAGCATACCTTCTATTTTAAGCTTGCTGCGCGTCTGATAAATGTGAAAAGGATATTTAAAGGTGATATTTAGTATTGAAAAAAAAAAAAGAGAAAGAGGAAAGAGAAAAGAGGAAAGAGAAAAGACGGGTTGCGCAGATGTATCTTCAATGCAACCCGTTTGTACAAACTTGTCGGAGATCCGATGTTACCTCTATTGTGTAGGCTTGTAGTAGGGCTCTCGTTGGCACCTGGCTTGCCAGTGTTAGAATCTCAAGATCCGATTACTGAGAACTACATAGTTTTTCATCCTGTTGTTCTTTTTTCTTCTTCTTTTTTGGCTGTGCCACCGAGCGATGGTGTAAACCCTTTGCGCTCGCCTCTCCCTTCCTACTTCTCTTTATCTTTCTTCAATATATATTCCTTGACTCTGTCACTTTCTATTGCTGATTACGCTCACACCACCCGCACATTTCTGGATTAAGATAACATCGCTTGACAGCTTGTTCAGAATTTGCGCTACACAAAAAATACATACTTACTTACATATATGGTATCTTTCGCCTACTCGTTTCTTATTCCTTTTCCTCTTGCCCTACACCGCCTACCATGTGCTCTAGACCTACAACACGTTCTGCCTGCGAAAAGTCGCTGCAGACATTCCCGCATGTTCCCAACCCGCGGCCCTACCAGAGAATCGAAGAACCCAACTGTGAAGTGCCATGGCCTTCTCCGCTGTACAAGCGAGTCACGTAAGCGGTCCATGGCACAATACAGGCGGGTCTATTCGTCTCGACTCTTGAACCGCGATCTCGCAGCAGCTCTAAACTTCAGACTCATTTTCCAGTCACGCTGTGATTCAGGCAGTATTCCTGAACGGTTCCGTTGTTCTACAGCCATTGCTGCCGATGCTTTTGGTGCCACCCCTGAAACAAAGAACCCGCGCAAGAGGTGTGCAGCAGAATCGAGAACAGTTGACCTTGTAGCAGCACTGATATCAGCCTGCCGGTCGCCTGACTCCCAGAAGTAAACTGCCAAGATCATGCCGGTCCATTGATGCACACAAAATGCGGAGATACTTCAGAACCGACCAGCTGCTCCAAAAGACGACCAATGTGAGATGCAGGCGCAATACCTGTGTATAGACATAGGCTCACCAGGTTCAGCCAGCTGATTTGTACGGGAAAAGGAACAGCCCCACCTAAAACAGGTTCTGCACACTCGTGATTCTACCGAATAGCAGCAAGTTACAGCGGATGTGGGTCATCCCACTGGCTATCATCTTCAGGAGGAATCGTGAACAGCTACAAGTTGACAATACTGCAAATGGCGGTTGCATCTATATGTGCAAGCACACGGTGGTTCTCGTTTATCTGCAATGTCTTCACTGGTGCGTCTGTGAGCGAGGAATGCAAAATTTGACAACCCCCAGCGGAACGACTAGTCGGTAGTCTTGAGAGCCTTGGGTGTGGATGGTAAATTTGGGCAGTTGACAGAAGGTCGGATAGTTGGGGTGTTTGATGTGTCTTCAACTCCAAGTTTGAGAGCTGTCAGGGTGGGAAGCGATAGTTGCTCATCAGATTGTGGTTGAAGGTCGAGTAAAGGATGTCGCCCGCCTATGTCGAAGAACCTCATTGTCTCAAGAGCATCAAGAGAAAACACTAGCAGCCCAGAGTCAAGTAAACAATTCATATCAAGCTCTAGTGCTGCTAAGTGGAGAGTAGTTGGTGTGTCAAGAATCAAGGCCACCGGCGGGGCGTACTGTAGATAGGTGAACCTGTGCGTGTATATCGAGAGTAATGACGGATAGCGCGGTGGGGTCGTAAAATCAAATGATTGAGATGTGTCCTGGCACAGGAGAGTAAGGATGCTGTGAATGATAGGCGCAGATAGGTCGTTAAGGTTGTCTCTGGTTGTGGTTGAGGGAGGTTGGAGAAGACTGAATGATTCCAGTGTGCTCCATGGCGGCCACACCCACATTTATGCTCGTTCTGTAGTGCTGGACAAGGGCTGTCTCGTCCTCTGGACATGTCAGCAGCATACCTCCATGCTGAGACATGTATCCGAGTAGAGTAAAAATGTGCAAAGCATCCTGGAGACGCAACGTCTGATCCCATGGCCATTGAGGAAACAGTGCCGCGGGAGCCAGTCTTTGTCCAGTCATGCACGTATGCAGCACAGGGTCGAGCCATGTGAGCCTTTGTACGCTTGAAAGGAGTGCGAACACTTCAATGTCCGCCGCCCTCATGGTTGGGCAATAGAGTGCGAATCGACAGAGTTTGTTCTCTTATTTGTCTCTTAGAGCAAGTGTTAACGCGCTGTTTCTACGACTGGGACTTGATAGTGCCGCTGTTTATCTGTCGTTGCTGGATATATTCGGCACATCTGTCTGAGTTGCTGTTAAACATGCCGATTATGCTGAAAGGTTGTATCCTGTTGCAATTGCCCTGAGCAGTCGCAAGCATGTGCTGCACGCCTGCTCACAGGAGCATACGCAGCCAGTCTGGCGGATCGCACACTCGGAGATGAGCTCAGGGAAACAGCAGATGTTGGAAAGGGCTGGGCAAGGCTAATTCCCAAGTAGCTGGTCTGACAGCATTGACATGTGTAAACGAGCTGCTTTGGTGTGACGGGCGAGGTGGCATGCACCACCCATATGCCCAGTAGGTCGAACAAAAAAGGCCGTCCGTAGTAGTCCACATTGCACCGTTCTGCTCACCAGCGGTACATCAGCCAATGCAATGAACACAAACCCCTAGCTACTTTGTCCTGAGGGGCTTCCTGATATGTGCGTTCCTGCAAGCTGCAGTCATCAATCGTGAGGATAGGCGTGCTCTAGTTGGCACGTATCCACCACGTACCATCGTGTCTACTCTGACAAACCACAGCCAGCAGTTCCAACAATGCAGCTATGTGAACACCTTTCATTTATTGGCAAGAAGCAACAACAGCAAAGAGGCATCCATGGTGCTTGGCCATACTGGCAACTTGACAAGCAATACAGGATTGCTTAAGAGACGATGGTCGAAGCGGTGGCAGCCTCGCTACAGAAAAGAAACAGAAAAACGCAGGCAAGAGTTAGCGACAAGATGCACTTGACGACTATCGGCAAGCAAAGCAACGCACACAGCACCCAGAGGTGCTGCGCTCTCCCGGCCAGGAACCAGAGCCCAGGCCGTTGAACGGAGAAGGAGAGCGTCCCATCAGACAGCTCTCCAGTTTGCAAAACCCGCGCAATGTCCACAGCTTCGCTGGCACTAGAAATACACAGGCAATATACAGAGTGGGCGATACTTACTACTTCCAGTTGGGCGGGAGCTGGCCAGCGGTCTTGTAGTAGCGGGCAAGGCGGTGGATACGCGACTCGATGAGAATGAGGCGGTACTTGGCGTCGTTGTCCTTGCGGTTGCGCTCGAGGTGCTTGCGGACGGAGACAGCCTTCTTGATAAGGAAGTACAGGTCCTCGGGGATCTCGGGGGCCAGACCGTTGGCGCGCAGGATGCGGGTGATCTTGGTGCCGGTGATCGGAGCGACCAGGGGGACGCCCTGCGAGTCACGCAGGATGACACCGATCTGCGACGGGTTGATACCCTTGCGAGCGAGCTTGCAGATCTGGTCGCAGACGTCCTCGGGGTGGCCTTGACCCACGAGGCGGGAGTGCGACGGTAGGGGGTGGCAGAGGAGCTGATACCCTTGCCCGGAGTGTGCATGCGACCCATTTTGACTAGATTTTCTTAACCGTGAAGGAAAATTGAAATGAGGAAAGAAGAGGAGGAATCGGATTCAGGCGATGCACAGGCAGCGCTGGCATAACCCACCCCAGCCAGCGCGCTGAGAAGATGGGAAAAATTTTCACGGACCAATCAGGAGCGAGCCGATTCTGCAGCTCGCAGCTCGAGAGAGATCGGCTCATCGCCACTGTTCACTTGTGATCGTCCAGTATTTAAGAGTCTGGACATGTTGCCATGAAGCACTATTTGCTTTAGTACACTTTTTGTAGTTATACACCCGGATACCACTCATGTCGGACATGGAGGAGTTCTTGAATAGCTTGGTCACCCGGAAACCAGCCGACGCGATAAACGACTTTGAAGCAGCGTTAAGAGAGCCTGCGGAGCGCACAAATGCAAGCGATTCCTTTGGCGACAATGCATTTGAGGACAGTGACAACAACAGCGACAGTGACGACCCAACCAATATAGCGATGTTCCTCGACGAGGCTGACGAGCATGAGCTGCAGGGTGTCACACCAGGCACGCCAATGGCATTAGAGAAGCTCGGGGAGCTGACAGCAAAGTCGATTTCACGGCAAAAGAGGCGCCAGACGCCAGCCAGGTCTAACGGGACTGGGTCTTTGCTAAGGCGCAGCAGCCAATATAGTGACGCCGGGTCTCCATCGAGACGGGGAAAGGAGAGCAACCTGGCGTCGCTTATGGACAACATTGCATCGATAACTACTCCAACTGCAATTTCACGGAGTCGGGGCGCGCAGGCGGAGAATGAAGAGGAGCCTACACAATCGGTGCTAAGGATTCGCTCGTCACACCGTGCTACTGGGATCCTAGACAGAATTAAGGGCAGCTCAGAGGCTTTGGCAGCAGCAACTACAGTAAACCCTCACCAGATACCGCGAGCACCAATTTTTATTACTGGCACGCCGATTCGAGCACCCGGCAGCACTCAACTCAGTGACGATGAGTCGCAGTTTCTCAGTGCATCGCTAGACTCTATTGGCCCGTCACGGCAGCAGCAGGAGACGCAAGACGATCAACTGAAAACTTATCAGACCCCGACTACAGGATCGGGAGCACCAAGAGGCTCCAATTCTTATAGACATGTGCGCGCGTTGTCAGACAGATCGAGTGGATTCAGCACATCGAATGAATCGATAGAAGATGACTATGAGAAGCCATTGCCAATTTCTCAGTACATGCGCACACCAAACACGCCGCGGCAGAGATATAATAAACGCATGGGGGACCTGCGAAGGTTCTACGGAGGAATGGGCCTAGAGCATGCGCAACAGGCACCATCTGCCAAAAAAACTGGCCCAGACCAGCATTTCAGATAATAAGGATACAAGCTCCCTGCTACTAGGCGCCAATGCCACTAGTCAGCAGCAGGGTGCTGCAGGTGGGCTGGATTCAGGTAGCGTCTCTCCATCGCCAGTCGGGTCAGGAAAGCGAGCCCACCAGGATCAGAGCCTGTTGGGCTCGCCAACACAATTAAGCACTGCCAACCAGCAGACCAATATGCTTGATAGTGACATGGCACAGCTAGCAGACAACTCGGCAGCTCCGAACATACAGCAAGAAAAGGCAGGCCGTGGGCTGGGCCCAGCACACCTCTCCTTCGGCCAGCAGATAGATTTGGACGACCAGATTACGGCTGATGACGACAATAGAAGCAAGCACACTGAGCCAACCAGCGCCATTCACTCAAGTCTCAGGGAACCACAGCACCAAACAGGTCTAGATGAGCTGGATGCCAGCATTGCGGTGATCGATAGAGCCGAGCAAGACCTGAACCGCAGTATCGCCAATCTAGCTGCAGCCAGAACCAAGCAAATTGACTTGGACCCCCAAGCTCAACTATCTGCTGCAAAAGAGCTAGAAGAGCATGTCCAAGTGCTGCGCAAGATGATGGAGGAAACCAAGACCGCAGTCTTTGCTATCCAGCGCGAAGTGAGCCAGCCGCGGCCAGCAGCCCCGCTGCCTGATGACCCGAAGCTAGAAAGTATTATGAGGCTGCTCAGCAGCCTTGACCTGCGCTTGGATATGCTGGAGACGCCGAAAGTGGTAAGGGACCCAGTGATCCCGCAGCTGCCGGTGAGTGCTGGATCGGCCAAGGTCATCAGACGCGATACGCTGCGATGGCTGTTAGATGCAGCTAAGCGCATTGCTACAAGGGCTGTTGACAGCATCACACAGAACCCGCTGCTGATAGTAGGCATACTGGTTGCCGTTCTTCTCGCCGAGCTGTTTGTGCTCAGTGGCGTCTACAACGTGCTACTGTACCGCCTCAGATACGTTGGAAGGTACACGTTTGAGAGCTTGAAGCAGCATGTTGCCCTGCCACCACCGCCTTCGTAGACGCTTTTCAACTGCCCTTCTCATTCAAATATGTAAAAACAGGTTTATTTTGCAACGACACCTGCCCCACACCCTACACGGAGCCCTGGAGGTAGCGGCAGATAACAGCGTATACCTTGGTGCACGCGTTGACACATGCCTGGAAACCCTCCTCGGTCTGCTCGAATTTTGTCTTCCCGTGCTGCAGGATATACGCGACTTCGTCGGCGCTGGGCATGCGCGCAACGAGCAACGAGCACGAGGCACTGTCCTCTTCGATCTGGGTGCAGTCGGAAATCCACTGGGTGCCATTCAGGGCCATCGAGCAAGCCGCAACACTGTCGTACAGCTCGATTCCAGCATCAACCAGAGCCGCCGAGATGCAGTTGATAGCCGCCGCAATCGTTGCTGCCTTGCCGTCGCTCTCGATTACAGTGATGAACGCGTCGACACATGCCTTCGGGTATAGCTCCAGGCGGATGGCAGGCGCGACGGCCTGCTCCAGAATCAGCGCAATCTCCTTCTCGTCGGAGCTTTTGATGTGCGATTTCCGCCAACTGCACGAGAACGGCGTGTATTTGAAGTCGCAGCTGAAAATACCCATCTTTGCGTTGCTCTTGCGGCCCTGGCGCGGGCCATACACAGCGCAGCTGATGCGGATTTTGCCCTGCTCATAGTATGCCGAGCCAGAAGGCGATGCCTGCGTCGATGTCTGGCTGTCAAGAGACCCGGTCTTCATGAAAATTGGCCGGACCTGATCCAGAGCACGGCCATCAAGGCGTCCGTTGGCAAAGGGCTCCACAGGTTCGGCGACTGAAAGGGGCTCGACGCTGCGTGTGGGTCCGTTAATACGCTTTCTGTCCTGGATGTTTGCTGCCATCGCTGCTGTTTTGTAAAAAAAGAAGCCTTTTGTGGGAATCGAGTGCTTAGTGAGCTAAATGTATCGCTTTTGGGCTGTGGGCAAAAATAAAAAATTTCGAGTGCTGCGATCAAGTAATATTTGGCTATTACGGTGCCTAATGGTGATATGCACAAAATACTCAACTCACCACACATATTCCGTTACAAGTACCATATACTACTTGATGTGCAGTTGATTTCACTAGCGTCTGCTCTTCGGGGGCAGAGGTGGGTTGCGCTTAGATATTACAGCGACGAGCCAGGTGCTGTTGGGTATGTCGCCATTTATTTCGGATACAAGATCAAAATCCAAGGCGCTGCAGAAAGGTTCTCTTGGGAACCAAAATGGAGACATTCTTTCCAAGCTTGATGTTGCAGTTTCTGCAAAAGTGTGACCTGCGCCTGAATGCCTTTAGCTGAGCTGCCGTGGACACAGCAGATGCTGCATGGTGCGGCCCCTTTAGGATGATGAGGATGATTGCGAGCGCAACCATGACAAAAAGCGTCCTCTTGCCATTCTCCTTTCTGATTTCTGTAAAGTCTGTTACATGGCAGCGAGGACAACACACTTTCACAGACTTCATATTAAGCTCCAATCGTGTACCTTGGCGAAGCTTCTTGGGACCGAACCAGCTGCGTCTGAAGACACCGCCCTTGTCGTGCACGATAGTGACGTCGGATGAGGGTGTGTGCTTTATGATCTGTCCGATAATGTCGGTGAGCCCGTCAGCGGTCATCTTGAATGTCTCAGCGCTGAGCCAACTGTCAGGGATAAAGGCGTTAGATTCAGTAAACGTTTGGTTAGACATGGTTTGGGATGATGTGAAATGGAATTGGACTACTGCAGTGGCGCGTTGACGGGCTGGCATAGTGGCTTATATAGCACGAGCAATGATGCTCTGCTACCCCCTTCAACACCTACTGAGGTTGTCAGTATATGCTTTTTAACAGGATTGGAGAAGGCAGTTGTCAAAAATCTACGCATATCCAATTAGAAACAGGCCGGTGGTTTATTGACAGCATAGCAATCACCACAACTAGCCGATGCTTGGCAAGGAATTCCAGAATACACAACCATTGTGAGGATTCCCAAATAAGGATATGGAGGCAGCATGCTGCTATGCCTACAGAAGTACACATTTTATCATGTAGCTGGAGCATTTATCCCAACTGCTCGAGCGAGTCGCGCTCAGCCGCATATCCACGTATCCGCTGGACCTGCAATCAAATCACGGCGTAATCCGATTGGAACCCGGCATTTTGCTACTTTTGGGGTGTTGCAGGGGTGTGGGCTTTTTGGATTTTTCTACTCCTTGTGCGAAATTTTTCATTCTTCTCAATTGGAGGTCGAACATTTATGTAAGGAGCAGATTGCATTCTAGGCACGAGCCATGCAGCACGCTGAATTCAGTGCACAAGGCTGACCCAGGCAGACGCCACTTGTACCGTGTAGTTCAGATTAAGCATACGTTAGCGAAATGACAGAGGTCCAGAATACTGCAGCAGCAAAGACTGTTCTCACAGACGCGGAAAACTTCGACACGGTGCACCCGCTGAACTCTGAGTGGACCCTGTGGTTCGACAACCCGAGCCGGCGGACGAACACGTCGAGCTGGACGCAGAACCTGAAGGAGATTGTGACGCTGGGCACGGTGGAGGACTTTTGGGGAGTGCACAGCAACGTGACGAAGGCGGTGGACCTGCCGAACGGCTCCAACTACCACTTGTTCCGCAAGGGCATCAAGCCC